AGGTGATTCTATGAAGTCTTACTACATATAGATAAATGAAAATTTTCTTATATATAAGAAGGGAAACCATTAAATATGGAAATAATGCGCGAGAAATAAAATTGGTCCCAATATTGGACAATGGAAATAAACAAGTTTCATGAGGAAAATTATTGCTCTCTCTCTCTCTCAAGTCAAGGTCGTGGAGTAAATTGATCCTTTCGTCAGAGATTTTCATTCTATGTGTGTACATATATGTATACATAACGTTTAAGGTTTAAACTATCAATCTCTTCATATCCGCTCTTTTAAAATGTGATTCTATTTTGCGCTCATCATCATCTTTTTTGCCGATGGCTTCTCTCTTTTGAAAATGCAACCACCTGTTATATACTTTGTCCACCTTGAGCTATACACAGTGTATAATATAAGACAGTCACCATATACAATATAATTATAGTAATAAATATTCAGTTATAAATAACTTTTAAATATTTATAATAGCCGTAATTTTATAATGAAACGCTTTTATAATAAGGGCTTATATAAACTCTCATTTATTTAAATTCTTTTTTTTCTTCTATTTAACCCTCATTTATTTAAACTTCCTTTTTATTAAAAAAAAAAAAATAAAAAACAGAATAGAAATCAAGAAATAAATTTTAATAATACTAATTAAAATTGTAAATTTGAATTATGATTTTTCCTCACGCTTTATATATATATATATTGTCATCGAAGAATTAAAAAGACTTTCTTCATTTCGTTTCTTTCACTTTGTGCAACAATAACAAAGTCTTCATTGGCTCCTTTATTTTTTTTTAACAAAGGTATATGTAATCAGAATCGTGACTACTGTATGTTCGCACGATAGAAGTCGTATAGAAGCTTTGTTCGTTAATAGATATATGAATGCGAGACTTAGCTCTCGTGATTAAATATATTGACTCCGATCATAAATTCATGAACGATCATCTTTTTTTCCAAAGATTCAATATATGGTAAATTATGACAGAAAATTCAAAGGAAATTTAAATTGAATTTTTTTTTAGAAAATTTTAAGAACAAAAAAATAAATTTTGAATCAACTATATTATAATAATTATAACTATATTAACTAATAACTACACTGAAGAAACAATTAAATTCATTCAAATAATCGGTTACTTGACTATTATCAAATAATTATTATTTAATAAATAATTTTGAAATTTTTTTAAATAAATCTTTTTTTTTTTTTTTTAAAGACACACTAAAATATTTCGAACAGAAAATCTATGATAAATTTTGCAATAATATTGAAACGCATATATGCTCTGTAAATCATTGAATCCCACTCACGCGCGCATATATATATTTATATAAAGTATATTAGTGACTTTAGCAAGAAATAAATAATTCATAAAATCAATTTTACTTTTAATGAAGCCATTTATTTTGATAATATTCAAAATCGTGATTGAAATCTGGAATTTATATATACGGAATTAAATACGTGATTGCCTCTTTAGTTCATACTATATACTGAATTCGTGAATATTAGAATTGCAAATCAGAAAAAGTTCGCCTGTCAGCAAATCGTAGTAGGATTAATATTTGATTTAATTTTGCCAACTATTTTATAATATTCAATAGAAAATGAAATTTTATAATTTTTTTTTTTTTTGATTGCTAATAAAAAAAAAAAATTAGCAAATAATAATAATAATAATTGGAAAAATATTTGTAAATAAAAAATAAATTAATAATTTATTTCCAAAGGGTTAAATAATAAATGCAACTTATGTTGATGCTTCAAAAGATTAAAACGGGAATCATATAAAATATATGAAAAGTCCCATAATCCACACGTCGAGTGAATCAACGATGAATTTTGTCAGCTATTAATCATTTTAGAAGCAGGTGTTTGAAGATTATGTGGAAGTAATTAAAAAAAAAATAAATTATTAAGTAAATGATTCAAGGACAGTGATGATAATGATGATGATATATCCAGAAATTCTATAAACTTCGTTTAAAGAATATTAAATACTTTTATCTGGGGAAAATTATACTATTAATTAATATTATTATTATTTAAAATTATATAATATAATAACTATAATAATTATAAAATTAATATATTAATAAATTTAAAAATAATAATAATAATAACAATAATAATAAACTTGAAAATTTAAAAAACACTTCAAATTTTTCCATTTCTTTTTTATCACACGGAAAAAAATCTTTATCTGGAACAGGTATATATGTTTCTCTAGAATAACGAAAATTTTCGTTGTTTTAGAGAAAATATCGCTGTTTTGGTAAAACTTATCCCGATTCCAGATTGAAAAACTTTTTCCGCGCAGAAAATATTTTTTGAGGCATTATTTTTGAAAACTAATGAAATATTATTGTTTACAAATGATTCTATAAACGTTTCGGAAATAAATGAGAAAAAAAAATCAGTTTCCTTGTCACGATTTTGTATAGACTTCTTATTTTCTTTCCTTTCGCAATCTTTTGCTGATGCACGTTTGCAAATAAAAAAAAAAAAAAAAAAATTAATGGTCAAGAAAATACAGGGATGAAACTTGAAGATATTGCCTATAATGATATTTATACGAATTATTATATTTATACACTCAGACAAATGGTATATTTGTCTCCGAGCCTACTAACTCTTTTATTTGTTGCAAATATATTTTATTTCATTTAAATAAAAAATTTATTTAAGCCAAAGAAAATATACGTTTATTTAACTCAAATATATTTTATTTGGTTCAAATAAATCATTTCTCTGGGTGATATTATAAAATTAATATAAAAATTAATCGCATAAAATTAATTATCACATATATACTTTTGATGAGTGGCAAAAAAAAAAAATTTGTTATAATTGTCTATTTTGATCAATTAAAAATAAATGCCGTACAATTATAAATAAAATATAGTAAATCATTTATACAGAAAAAATGATGCTTGCGATAGAGAAAAAGATTTCTTTTGGAGATTATTTTATATGTTACGTATAGATAAACGTAAAAAGAGACCACACGTGTTATTTGTGCCCTTTGCACTTTTAGAAGCCCGCAAATATATGGCGCGCATAATTGTAGCGAAAGTTTTGCGCAAACAGATCGAAAAGATTTGCTATCACCTTTTGCGCTGAATGATTAACGTGAAATTTTGTAATCAACCACAAACGATGGATTTTTTTTTTTTTCGAGAAAAAAATTTGAATTAGAAGAAATTAAAAATTTTTTTTAATAAAAATGATTGTTGTGAAATTCTAGCTTCTTTTTGCAGGAAAATAAGATTTACCATATAATTGGTTTTTAATAATAAATATAATTTTATGTTTTTAAGTAAGAATTGCTTTTTGTTATAACGAAACAGCAGTATTAAAACGTTGATTTTAAATACTATTTTTTTTTTTTCAGTGATTAGTAATTTGTTGCTGAGGACATATAATATGAAAAAGACGACCTTGCAAAAAAAAAAAAAAAAAAGGATTTGCTCTCTCCTTTTTTATATCGCTGCGGTATAGTTGATCTTTAATGAAAATGAATAGTTTAGCTTACGCAAGATCGTGAGTCGTTGATCGTGCTTCATTCCTTTCTATATAATATAAACCTTGTGTAAACTTTACGATTTCGTGCAATGGAACCAAAACTTCTAATATTATACATTGAACTAACACATATAAATAAATATATAATAATATTTTGTCGTGACTCGTTATGTGAAACAAAGTTCATGAATGCGTTGTTTGTCGGAAATAATAACCTGTATATTTTCAGAGTCACTGTGGAGATCGTCATATATATGGGTCAATCGCTTTTGATAATATTATATAGTCAATTTATACTTTTTGATATATCTAAATAACACAATGAAAAATGAATTATCGAGAAATTATAAAAGACTAGATTATATCAGATGTGATATAAATTTTATGGGGCATAATATATATAAACTATATTTTAATATGTCTCAACAATAATATTTTTTTTTTTTTTTTGCAATATCAGATTAATTCGAAAAAAATTTTTCTATCTACATTTATGATTCACGGATAAATTTTATAATTTATTTTTTGTCACGTGTTGCGAACTTTTATATTTAAAAAAATATATATGAAAAATAAATATATAATAAAATAGTGAAAAAAATAATTTTATAAAAAATATATCCAGTTTAAATTATGCTTACTTTAAAAAAAATTTCTTTTTGCAAAAAAAAAAAATTTAATTTACTTTTTCAAAAATAAATATATAGTAAAAATATTTCCATCTAATATATATGTATATGATTTTATTCGAGTGTATAAAGGAATTATTGCTATAATTATGTACGTGATGCTATTACCTGGATATAAACGTTAAAACAACTATTATATATGATATAATAGTTATTTTATGATGATATAATACAGATATTGTATAATATAGAAAATTTTTTTTTTTTTCATTAAACTTTTTTCTTATCAATGTAGGTGGTTTTATTTATGCTATAAACTAGTTCGAAGACATACGATTTTACTATACATATATACCGACCATGCGTTATTTTACGAGGATTAATTCCACCTTTAGAATTCTAAACTCCTGAACTAACCTGATCGTCACCTTCCGCTTCCGTATATAACAAACGCAATAAATTATTTTTACAACGGTACATCAGTGTAACAGAAAATGTAATTTTACTCATTTAATATGATTTTAAAACTGACACTATAAAATTTTACAAAAAAAAATTTATCCTCTCTATATAGCGAAATAATTTTCTAAGTATATAAAGATAAACATAAAATTTGTATAAAATTAATTTTTGCAAAGTTTTAATTACAATTTATTAAATGTAAAATTATTTTATAAAATAATTTAAATAAAAAATTTAAATAAAATTATTTTACACTATAAAATTTGTATTTAAATAATTAACTAAGAAATAGTATTTTTAATGGAATATTTTATAGAGGTTATAAATAGAAAATCGAGTGTCTGTCGATTGTTTGTTTTTTTTTTTTTTTTTTTTTTGTAAATTGAATTTGCAGTGAAAAAGTATTATTTTGAAATTGAAATGCCAAAATGAAAAATTGTCAAAATTCAAGTGGAATTAGATAATAAGATTTTAGAATAATGGACGATTCAGAAAATAATAAAATGAATTCTGAAATACAAATTAATAAACCATGTGTTGAGATGCTACAAACGGAGGTTCGTAAATTAAATCTAACTATATAATTGCAAATTAATTATACCCAATTATTATTATTATTATTATAACCTTCCAAGTTTTAATGCATACATTATTCATAATAAAAATTAGTTTATTACGTTATTTTTTTACAACTCAAAATCTATATTTCAAAAAAAGTCATATAGGTTACAAATGTTAGTTATTATTGAGAAAAAAAAATCATAATTCATCATAAAGAAATAAAAATTATAATTTCAAAAAACAATTTTTTAACCCAATTTTTCTCATAATAAATGTGTTTGCAAAACTATGGCTTTTAAATAATTATAAATTTTATTATTGATAGTTAATGATGACTACGGTACTTATAATTTATGTAATTTACAAATCTTGTCGAAAAAGGAATGGCCTTAACACTAATTTTAATAACGTAATTTAAAGTGTCATAAAATTTTACTATTTTCTATATTTGCAGTAATACTTTTATTTTTAAATAATAATTATGTATTAAAATTTTTAAAAAATTATTTTCTTTTATAATTTAAATAAAATAGAATAAATAATTGTGAATTTAAAATTATTTTAGGCACTGAATTGTTTGAATAAATTTCCAAATAAAGTTATAGAATTAAACACTATTATTGAGAGTTACACACCATCGACTGTTAAATCTGGAACTTCCGGTGGAAGTACAACTCAATTATCAACAGCAGGTTCAGTATCATCGACATTTGGAAATTATAATTCTACCACAAGACCAGAAATTGATGGTAAAATTTTACAATAAAAATTTTTTTATTTTTTTTTAATTAAAAAAAATAATTAATTTAATTTAATAATTACTTCTTCAGTAACGAGTTATTATTCACTTTCAACATACGATCAAAGACACACGCGGCGAGGAATTCATAAAAGAAAAATTTATCGTTTAAAACGTTTTGAAGGATCAATGCTTCGACGAAGACCCGGACCTTTAGGGCAATTACTTGCATTTCTTGCTGCTAAACTTTCATTATGCACAAAACAATTAGTTTTTGCTCCATCCTACTATGTTATTGATAAAATAATGTCCACACTTTTTCAACAGTAAGTTTGTTAATTAAATTATACAAAATTTAATTAATTTCCCAAAAAAAAAAAAAAAAAAAAAAATTGTTTATAATAATTGAAAAATAAAAATCAGACGAGAATTAAGAAGTGTACAATGTGGACCATCAGCAAATTGGAATAGTTCATTAACAACTTATATTACAACACACAAGGAGGATAATTCAGTTATTGGAAATCTTATAAGTGTCATGAGACCGGCAGCTGTGCAACTAATTGCAGATACAACTGTGGTGAGAAATTAAATGTCAAATATATTAAATAAGTATGTATTATAAATTCGCATTGTAAAAAAATTCAATTAAAAAATTTTTTTTTTCCCCCTTATCAAATTATATACAGTTAAAACGTTGGCTTCAAGCAATGTCAATAATGTCACCGACTCCGGAATTATCACGTGATTTAATTCAAATAACTCGTTGTACAGAAACAATCGATTGTTGGGGTTATGAATTATTTTTTCATCTCAAATGCCTTCAAGTGACACGAATGAGAAACATTGAAAGAGTAAGTTTTATATTCGATTTAGGAAATTTAATTATTTTTTAAAATTAAAATTTAAAATTAAAATTTAAAATTTAAATTCAAAAATTAAAAACAAAAGTATTACAAACTTATAATTTTTATAAATAACACAAAAATTTTTATTTTAATATAATAATTTCTTTTAATATAATTTTTGAATATTTAAAATTTTTTTGCTATTTAAATAACAATAAGAGAATAAATACAATAATTTAAATAATTTATATTCTGTATTAATATTTTTTTTTATATATAATTTTTTACTTAATTATTTTTATTAATTTTTTTTTTATTGGCAATTATTATAATTTTGATATTAGATTATCAATGAAGATCAGACAACAAATGAAGAAATAACGCATATAAATTTATGGCATCGTTTAATTCAACTTCGTGATAATTATATTATTTTATATGAATCGCTTCACGATGATAAAAAATTTCCGGATTCAAAACCACCCGTCGAGAATCAAGAAAATTTGCACACTTGATATTAAAATTTACACGTCCCTTTTTATTAATTGGCGAGAATGTCATTTTTTTAAAATTGTAAATTTATGTTATTAATAAACGTATTTGTATTTTATAATTTTGTATTATTTAAAAAAAAAGTAGTGAAAAATAACTAAAATTTAGTAGAAACAATTAAGATGAATTTTTCATTTAGCACAACTAGAGAAACAAAATTTATATGAAGCAAATAAAAATATATTTGCCTCAGAAAAAAAATTGACACATTCTGTCTGACTAAAATTTATATCTACTACTGGTGCAAAAGAATAAGACATCGGCCTAAATAAAAATTACCAAAAAAATTAGTAGAAATTTTTACTAATTTAAATTAGCGAATGAATTCAAATTTAGAGAGTAATGATAATTTTGTTATTTGAAATATAATAATAAAAATAATTATTATATTATAATAATTTTAATCATTTTATGCAATCGTTATGTAAATTAAATTCAATTATTTTCTATATTATTATAATGTATAATTTGTTTATAAATATGAATTATTATTCAGAATAAAATGATTTATTTGTTTTCATCATTCATGTCACAGTGAAACTAACAATATATATCCATCTGTCGCTCAAAACTCGACACTTCATTGTTGCTGTAACATTTATAGAAGTCAAAAGGCTTTTAAGGAAGGGAATGGAAATGCCAGTTTTGCTATGGACTTATTACGAAAGTACGCGACCATCTGTATAGTCTGCGGTTCGCCACCGCTACCTACTTCTCTTTATGAACCGAGATTTAATAACAGTAAAGCGGCACCAAACGACAACTGTCATATATATTTAAACAGTTCCGAGATGTATTCAACAATTTTTTTTTCTTCAAATTTTACACTCTTTTAAAATTTTTCAGCTATTTAACTGTATAGGAGAAAAATCATCAGAATTTTTCTAAATTTAAAAAAAAAATTGAGATTAATTTCAAATCAGACATCAAGAAATTTTTTAAAAAAGATTTGATGAATTAAATTTTTTTTTTAGAATTTTAACATATTTCCTTAAAATGAGAAAATTAAAAAAAAACCATGAATAGATAAGAAGCGCACTATGAGAGTAATAAATCAAAAAGATGATAATGTTATAGGGTGCAGAGTAATTGACCTTCGTAAATTGATCATTATTTATGGTCTCCACGTGTCTTTTATATATATGTGTATATAGTAGAAGGAAGAAACTGTACAAGGTCGAAATGGCATTAATAATAGTGACTTCTTATATATATATATAATTCTACTGTGTAGATATATATGTATATACAGTAACAAGAGCTCTCTTCCATATAATGGCATAATGCAGTTCTCTGATCTCTTGTGTAGGAGATATGGAGAGACAATGCGATGGGAAAGTCTAGGATATTCCATGACGAAGTCATTGCCCACACACGATGAAAGGATTCTAGGCTTCCTCCAACATTCAATATATGAGAACCTAGAAACTCACCGATGAGAATTATATATATACATTACTAAAAGCGTCATTTTCTCGAATAATCTCATTGATTTACTTCTTCATTCTAAATTTTTACATTTAAAAGCGTTATTTATTCTTTTTCAAAATACGAGATAATCGCTCCCCAATACCACCGAAGTCATTAAAAAAAAGTAGCGAACAGAAAATGTATGGCGCACTTTTTGATTGGTCCAGCGGATGCTGAGCTACACTCACTAAAACTGGGGAAAAATTTTCGAAAAAAAAAATTTGCCAGATTATGACTCGGGAATAATGCCAAAAAATTGAGCAAAAAGTCTCGAACAAAAAATGTATGGCGCACTTTTTGATTGGTCCAGCGGATGCTGAGCTACAGTAGAAAACAAAATTTGGAAAAAATTTCGAAAAATTAAATTTGCGACATAATTGATCGGGAATACCGCCAAAGTCTTAACCCGGGAGTCTCGAACAAAAAATGTATAGCGCACTTTTGGATTGGTCCAGCGGAGGCTGAGCTACACTGAAAAACAAGTTTGAAAAATTTTCAAAAAATTAAATTTTCGATATAATCGTTCGGGAATACTGCCAATATCTTTAGAAAAAAGTAGTGAACAAAAAATGTATGGCGCACTTATTGATTGGTCCAGAGGATGCTAAGACACACTCAGATAAATTTTTTTAAAAATTTCAAAAAAATAATTTTGCGAGATACTTGGTCGAGAATACCGCCAAAGTCTTAACCCGGGAGTCTCGAACAAAAAATGTATGGCGCACTTTTCGATTGGTCCAGCGGATGCTGAGCTACACTCAGATAAATTTTTTAAAAAATTTCAAAAAAATAATTTTGCGAGATAATTGGTCGAGAATACCGCCAAAGTCTTAACCCGGGAGTCTCGAACAAAAAATGTATGGCGCACTTTTTGATTGGTCCACTGGATGCTGAGCTACACTCAAATAAATTTATGGAAAATTTTCGAAAAATTAAATTTTCGAGATAATCGTTCGGGAATACCGCCAAAGTCTTTAGCAAAAAGTAGCGAACAAAAAATGTATGGCGCACTTTTTGATTGGTCCAGTGGATGCTGAGCAACACTCAAAAATAATTTGGAAAAATTTTCAAAAAATTAAATTCGCAAGATAATCGTTCGGGAATACCGCCATAGTGATTAGAAGAAAGTTCTGAACAAAAAATGTATGGCGCACTTTTTGATTGGTCCAGCGGATGCTGAGCTACACTAGAAAACAAATTTGGAAAAAATTTAGAAAAATTAAATTTGCGAGATAATCGTTCCGGAATACCGTAAATAAAATAGGGAAAAAGTTTCGAACAAAAAATGCATGGCGCACTTTTTGATTGGTCCAGCGGATGCTGAGCTACACTCAAAAATAATTTGGAAAAATTATCAAAAAATTAAATTCGCAAGATAATCGTTCAAGAATACCGCCATAGTGATTAGAAGAAAGTTCTGAACAAAAAATGTATGGCGCACTTTTTGATTGGTCCACCGGATGCTGAGCTACATTCAAAAATAATTTGGAAAAATTTTAAAAAAATTAAATTCGCTAGATAATCGTTCGGGAATACGGCCATGGTGATTAGAAGAAAGTTCTGAACAAAAAATGTATGGCGCACTTTTTGATTGGTCCAGCGGATGCTGAGCTACACTCAAAAATAATTTGGAAAAATTTTCGAAAAATTAAATTGTCGAGATAATCGTTCGGGAATACCGCCAAAGTCTTTAGCAAAAAGTAGCGAACAAAAAATGTATGGCGCACTTTTTGATTGGTCCAGCGGATGCTGAGCTACACTCAGATAAATTTTTTAAAAAATTTCAAAAAAATAATTTTGCGAGATAATTGGTCGAGAATACCGACATAGTGATTAGAAGAAAGTTCTGAACAAAAAATGTATGGCGCACTTTTTGATTGGTCCAGCGGATGCTGAGCTACACTCAAAAATAATTTGGAAAAATTTTTAAAAAATTAAATTCGCTAGATAATCGTTCGGGAATACGGCCATGGTGATTAGAAGAAAGTTCTGAACAAAAAATGTATGGCGCACTTTTTGATTGGTCCAGCGGATGCTGAGCTACACTCAGATAAATTTTTTAAAAAATTTCAAAAAAATAATTTTGCGAGATACTTGGTCTAGAATACCGCCAAAGTCTTAACCCGGGAGTCTCGAACAAAAAATGTATGGCGCACTTTTAGATTGGTCCAGCGGATGCTGAGCCACACTCAGATAAATTTTTTAAAAAATTTCAAGAAAATAATTTTGTGAGATAATTGGTCGGAAATCCTGCCAAAGTCATAACCAGGGAGTATCGACCAAAAAATGTATGGCGCACTTTTTGATTGGTCCAGCGGATGCTGAGCTACACTCAGATAAATTTTTTAAAAAATTTCAAAAAAATAATTTTGCGAGATAATTGGTCGAGAATACCGCCAAAGTCTTAACCCGGGAGTCTCGAACAAAAAATGTATGGCGCACTTTTTGATTGGTCCAGCGGATGCTGAGTTACACTCAAAAATAATTTGGAAAAATTAAATTTTCGAGATAATCGTTCGGGAATACCGCCAAAGTCTTTAGCAAAAAGTAGCGAACAAAAAATGTATGGCGCACTTTTTGATTGGTCCAGCGGATGCTGAGCTACACTAGAAAACAAATTTGGAAAAAATTTAGAAAAATTAAATTTGCGAGATAATCGTTCCGGAATACCGTAAATAAAATAGGGAAAAAGTTTCGAACAAAAAATGCATGGCGCACTTTTTGATTGGTCCAGCGGATGCTGAGCTACACTCAAAAATAAATTGGAAATATTTTCAAAAAATTAAATTCGCTAGATAATCGTTCGGGAATACGGCCATGGTGATTAGAAGAAAGTTCTGAACAAAAAATGTATGGCGCACTTTTTGAATGGTCCAGCGGATGCTTAGCCACACTCAAAAAATCGTGGGAAAAATTGTAGAAAAAAATATTTGCCAGATAATGACTCGGGAATAATGCCAAAAAATTGAGCAAAAAGTCTCGAACAAAAAATGTATGTGCGCACTTTTTGATTGGTCCAGCGGATGCTGAGCTACACTCAAAATAAAATTTGGTAAAATGTCCGAAAAATTAAATACGCGAGATAATTGTTCGGGAATATTACCAAAGTAGTTAGAAGAAAGTTCTGAATAAAAAATGTATAGCGCACTTTTTGATTTGTCCTGCGGATGCTGATCTTGGTCAAAATAAAATTTGAGATTGTTTGAAAATTTTTTAATTGTTTCAATTTTAGAGAAATTATTATTAAAAAATTGATGTTAACAAATTTACAAAATTCTCCCAAGGAAATGAAATCGAAAAAAATTGCTTTGTATAATCTTATAGAATGTTTCAAGTTTACGCTAACGATTCCCTGTATGGAATTTCAGAGGTAAAGAGATCTGGGATCTTTGTGATTGCAGTGACTATCTATTTTTCTCTCGTTTTCATCGCGACGACGAGAGTCTCTCTCTCGGATCTTTCTGCGAAACCGTGGGCTAAGATAAATCGATCTGCCTTATAGTCTTCGCGATGCGACTCGTTGAATTGAAAAGTCAATAGGACGTTAATGAGAATCAGCAGAAATGTGTTTTATTTTTTTTCTAATTAAGT